TAAGTCAGGTAGAGCTGAAGCTTCAACTCAAGTCTTCTGACTCAGTGGGTTTTTTTTTGTTTGTTTGTTTGTTTGTTTTTATTTTTCCTTTTTGTAGAATTGAGATTTTGCTCTGTTACCCAAGCTGGTCTTGAACTGGTGGTCTCAAGTGATTGTCCTGCCTCAGTTTCCCAAAGTGGAGTTATAGGCATGAGCCACTGTGCTGGCCTGACCCAATGTTTTTCTCTTTCTACCACACAATGCTTCCTCACCTCTGCCTTTTCATTTTACTGTCTTCTCCATCCTGCCCTCTTCTCTATTCTCTATGAAGTCTTTTCATTTCTTTTTTTCTTTTTCTTTTTTGAGACAGTCTCACTTTGTCATCCTGGGTAGAATGCCATGGTGTCATAGCTGTCAGCAACCTCAAACTCTTGGGCTCAAGCGATTCTCTTATCTCAGCCTCCCGAGTAGCTGGACTACAACGAGTAGCTGGAGTGTACCACAACGTGGGTAGTTTTTCTATTTTTAGTAGAGACGGGTCCCACTTTGCTTAGGCTGGTCTCAAACTCCTGAGCTCAGGCAGTCTACCCACCTCTGTCTCCTGGAGTGCTAGGCTTATAGGCGTGAGCTACTGTGCCTAGCCTCTATGGAGTCTTTTCTAATGACTTGGCCATTCTTTTCCATTTCTAAATTTCTGTTTACACTATCTATTCCACATCTTTATACATTTTTGTACACTGTATTGGAGTATAATAAAAATAGAGAAAAAGGTACAGATCATAAATGTACAGCCCTGTGAAGAATTTCAAAGTGAACATAACCAGCATCGGGATCAAGAAATAGAAAATTATCAGAACCACAGAAGCTTCCTTGATCCCCTTTTTGTTATACCGAGATTAACTAGTCTTTACTTTTATTTTTATTAACTAGTGTTTGCTTTGAAGAACATAGATTACTTTGCTTTTTAAATATGCAGCATATAATCTCCTGTGTTTGTCTGCTTTCATTCATTCAACTTTGTGTTTGAGATTCACCCGTATTGTTCTTTGTGATAGTAGTTTATTCTCAGTTGTTCATGATATTTAATTTTATGAATATACCATTCTTCTGTTGATGAATATTTGCTGTTATTGCACATTCTTATATATGCTTTTTAGTGAACATATGTACACATTTCTGTTGGGGTGTTTCTTTTTTTGTTTGTTTGTTTTTTGCAGTTTTTGGCTGGGGCTGGGTTTGAACCTGCCGCCTCTGGCATATGGGGCTGGCACCTCCTTTGAGCCACAGGTGCCGCCCTGTTGGGGTGATTCTTAGAAATGAATGTACATACATTCAGCAAAATGTTTTTCCAGAGTGATTCTACTATTTTATACTTCCGCCATGAGTTTATGAGAATTCTAGTTGCTCTACATACTTGCTAAAATTGGGAATTTTTGGTTTGTTTTGTGGTGGGTGACCTTTCAGGATTTTAAAATGTGATAATTTAGTTCTGTTTCTTATGTGACAAGTCTTCTTTCTTTCTTTCTTTTTTTTTTTTTTTTTACAATGTTATGCGTTCCTTGAGAATAGGGATTCTGTTTATATACCAAAATGTGGCACAAGGGCTGGCATATTGTGGGCCATCCATCCATCCAGGTTGGATGAATGAAGCATATATGTAGGGCATATGAGTGGACAAAGACTGGAAGGAAATATCAGAAATAAAAATTATACAGATGGTGGGATTTGTTCAGTCAACAAATATTTGAGTGTTTCCCATTGTGTTCGATTCTGGTAATATGCCTACTTCTTAACCCTCATGTATCTTTTTGATAGTGGTGTTAGAAAATAAGCAAGTACATAAATAAATAAAGATAAAATTGTACATTATGATGAATACCATTAAGAAATGAACAGGATGCTATTAGAGTGACAATAAGAGGATGATAAGAACCTATTTGTAGATAAGGTGGTTAGAGAAGGCCTCTCTGAAAAAATGACATTTCTTTCTTTTTTTTTGAGACAGAGTCTCACCATGTCACCCTTGGTAGAATGCTGTAGCAACACAGCTCACAGCAACCTCAAACTCTTGGGCTTAAGTGATTGTCTTGCCTCACCTTCCCAAGCAGCTGGGACTACCGGCGCCCTCCACAGTGCCTGGCCATTTTTTGGTTGCAGTTGTCACTGTTGTCTAGCTGGCCTGGAACGCACCACTTTCGGTGTATGTGGCTGTCATCCTACTCACTGAGCCACAGGCGCCAAGTCAAAATGACATTTATTTCAAAGCATTTTTTTTCTCTTTTACAAAAAGTTATTTATTGTATCTTTTTACTTTTAACAAAGGAAACATTGAGGTCCTTAAAGGTCATGTGAATCTTTTTGAGGAGGTAGGGACAAGAGTGGTGAGTACAAAAGAGATTTAAATGTCTGTGTTTGTACATATGTTTAGGTGTGGGGAAAGTAGATACTGTCCTTACTTAGTACTAAATGCATATGTGCTTCAGTAGTTCAACATAGTATGAAATGTTAACTTGTGAATAATGTAAGGACAGAAATACCTCAGGTGGTGGGACAGGCAGAGAAAGAATCCATTTAGTTATTCCTGGAGCTATGGGGACAGAGAAAGATCATATAACCTGACAGAAGAGGACTCAGCCCATAGCACAGCTTGTTGAAACTGCTGTTGGTTGTGTTCTTTGAACAAGTTTTAAGTGCTTTGTGTTCCAGATCGACCATTACATTGATGTATGTGATGTAATGGGAGGTGTTCTGTGTTTAGTCTGTGTTTTACAAAGCCTACTTGATACTTACGAATTAAAGCATAAGTGTCCTTGAGACTGACCAGAAGAATCCTGACTAATCTTTTAATATCCTTGTTTGGAAAGAAAAATAAATAGTAATGTTCCACAATTAGAAATTCTATTTTTTCTTCATTGGAACTAAAGAAAAAAATCATTTTCATTCTCTGTGTTTGTTTTCTCTTTGAATAAAGCAGAATTGAAGGATTAACCTTGTTCCTACTCCCTCCCACCTCTTTTTATTGTAAAAGCAATATAATATTACTGAGAATTTAGAAACTAGATTCTTAAACTTATCCATAATTCTAACTTAGCAAAATGACTCTTTGATTTCTTGTGTGTTCCTTTTTTAGACTTGCCCACATCATTTATGTTTTTACCTATAATTTTGTGCATAGTACAAGCATTTTTTTATATTAAAAAATGTTTATTGTAAAACATGAACTCTGGGTGATAATGATGTGTCAATGTAGGTTCACTATAACAAATATTCTACTCTGGTCTGGGATTTACTAGTGGGGGAGGCAGGCATATGGGAACTCTGCCCTTAACGCTCAATTTTGCTATGAATCTAAAACTGCTCTAAAAATTAGTTTATTAAAAAAACTCAGTGCTGGGATGGTGCCTGTGGCTCAAAAGGGTATGGTGCCGGTCCTATATGCCGGAGGTGGCAGGTTCAAACCCAGCCCTGGCCAAAAACTGCCAAAAAAACCAAAAAAAAAAAAAACAAAACTCAGTGGTTATCTGATTTTCCATTAAATGACTATGCTTTCATAAAACACTCCTTCCTTCCTTCCTTCCCTCCCTTCTTTTCTCTATTCTTTCCTTCCTTCCTTCATTTATTTATTTATTTTTTTACCTCCTTCTCTCTTTCTCTCTAAATTAAATCTTTCTTTCTTTCTTTAATTCTTTTTTTTTTTTTTTTTGAGACAGAGTCTCACTATATCACCCTCGGTAGAGTGTTATGGTGTCACAGCTCACAGCAGCCTCAAACTCTTGGGCTTAAGCTATTCTCTTGCCTCAGCCTCCCAAGTAGCTGGGACTACAGGCACCCGCTACAATGCCTGGCTATTTTTTGTTTGTAGTTGTCACTGTTGTTTGGCAGGCTGGGGCTGGATACAAACCCGCCAGCTCTGGTGTATGTGGCCAGTCGCCCTAGCCACTGAGCCACAGGCGCTGAGCCTAAATATTTATTTTTCCCCCTTTCTGCCCTTCCAGTTTTCACTCTTGTGAGTAGTGAGTAATGATACAATGAGGATCTTTTGCATGCAGTTTTTCTCTTTAGGAATTTATTTTTTAAACAGTGTATATTATTAATATTATCGTTATTTCTGAGACAGTGTCTCAAGCTGTTTCCCTGGGTAGAGTGCCATGGCATGCATCATCGTAGCTGATAGCAACCTCCAACTCTTGGGCAATCCTCTTGCCTCAGTTTTTCTATTCTATTCTGTTTTTTTTTTAGTAGAGACAGGGTCTTGTTCTTGCTCAGGCAGGTTTTGAACTCAAGTAATCCACCTGCCTCAGCCTCCCAGAGTGCTAGGATTATAGGTGTAAGCCACCATGCCTGGCCATATGTGGTATTCTTGATTATAATAATACTAACCCAATACAGTTGTGGTGAAGATTAAGGAAATAGATGTAAGGCATTTTAGCATAATATCTGACACATAATAATTATAAATAATGGCTATAACATTGCCAAATTGCTTTCAAATGTAATGTGAATATAAACAAGGAAGACAATTGCAGTGTGAATGACAATAATGATGATGTTGTTGATTGAATATTGAGTATGTATTTTGTGAAAGGCACATTACTTACATTATCACCTTTAATCCTTACTACAACTGAATTTTAGTAAGTTGTTCATGGTCATCAAACTTATAGGTGGCAAAAGCAAGTTTTAAACTTAAAATTGAGAGATGAGTCTTTGTTTTTTTTCCTGCTGTCCATGTTTAAATAGGTATTTATCACAGTTCTGCTTCCAAGAGTTGATTTGATTTAGTTCTAAGTTTCCAGGACCAAATTCTTTTATTCTTCAAGTATTCATTGAGCATTTATCAGGTGCCAAACACCATTTGAGGTGTTAATCTTGGGTTCTTTTGGTGATCAGATCTCCAGGAATTGGGCTTAATGAGGTTGGAAAGATCCTGTACTATAGTCTTTACTTTGAAGCAGCTCTGCTTAGATAAACCTTCTAAGTGAATGCTTAATGTTGCTTACATCTGTGTTTTTATCCCCCAGTGGCCCCAGATGAGCCAGTCCCAAGCCTATGAGGGATCAGAACAGATTCTTGGAATAGACATACATCCGAGTAGGAAATATCACACCACAAATAAGGTGAGAATTATTAGCATCTTTTATGTTTATAGAGTCCTCTCACATAGTTATTTTTTGGAGCTGAATAAAATTAAGGCAAAGAGTTTTGTTGAATGTAGAAGGTGAGCCTCAGGGAGGTGGAGTGACTTGCCCAAGATCATAAAGATGGTAAGTGACAGAGCAATGAATATTTTAACCTAAGCTTTCCGAACCTATGTCCTGTGTATTCCATTGTATTGTCTTGCCTAGAAAACATTTAAGAGGGAAAAGTCTTAATGGAATTTTTACATGTTAAAATATAGTAATATTTAACTTTTAGAGAATTTCTTATTGCTTAGATGACATCCCTTCATTTGGAGAGGCTTAAATTAGAATAGGTTTTTCTTGGAATTTGTTTGCAAACTGTATGGCTCCTATCTTCTGTAGTAATTAATACAATTTATTATACCTGTACTAAAGAGTAGCAGAGGGTGGTGCCTGTGGCTCAGTGGATAGGGCACTGGCCCCATATACCGAGGGTGGAGGGTTCAAACTCGACCCCAGTCAAACTGCAGCAAAAAAATAGCTGGGCGTTGTAGTAGGTTCCTATAGTCCCAGCTACTTGGGAGGCTGAGGCAAGAGAATCGCCTAAGCCCAAGAGCTGGAGGTTGCTGTGAGCTGTGATGCCACTGCACTCTACCAAGGGTGACAAAGTGAGACTCTATCTCTAAAAAAAAAAAAAGAGTAGGAGAGTTTAAAAACATGCAGTGTTTACTTTGGTTGATTGTGATTTTGAATGACTTTTGACTGCTTTCAGATAATAGTTTACTTTCTTTTTGTTGTTATATCAATAAACAGAATGTTCCACTTCTCAGAATTGTTCTTCAGGCGATGGAATCAAGATTCTTTTGAAGAGTACTCTTTTTAGGAAAGTTCTGGTGGCTTATGCCTATAATCCTAGAACTCTGGGAGGCTAAGGTGGGAGGATTATTCGAACACAGGAGTCAAAGACCAGCCTGAGCAAGAGTAAGACCTTGTCTCTACTAAAAATAGAAAAATTAGCTGGGCATGGTGGTAGGTGCCTGTAGTCCTAGCTACTTGGGAGGGTGAGGCAATAGGATCACCTGAGCCCAGGAGTTGAGGTTGCTGTGAGCTATGATGATACCACGGCACTCTAGCCTGGGGGATAGAGTGTAACCTGCCTCAAAAAAAAAAAAAAAAAAGAAAAGAAAAAGAGTACTCTTTCTGGTAGAACTTTTATTATCTCTTGAATCTGTCATTTCCTAGATAAGGGTTCATAGACATATGGTCAGTGAGGTGGGTACATTGTGTTCTGAAATTTAGAAGACATCTATTATTAGTACATTTCCAAATATGTTTTTGTATATGTGTGTGTGTGTGTTTTTTTTGAGACAGAGTCTCACTCATTCGCCTTAGGGTTCAAACTCCTGGGCTCAAATGATGCTCTTGTGTCAGCCTCCTGAGTAGCTGGGACAAAAAGCGCCTGCCACAACGAGCAGTGAGTTTTTCTATTTTTAGTAGAAATAGGGTCTTGCTCTTGCTCCGGCTGGTCTTGAACTCCTGAGCTCAGGTGATTTACCCACCTTAGCTTCCCAGAGCAAATGTGTTTTCACTGAGTTTGATAAGCCGCTTTAAAAAATGAAAATTAAAAATTCTTGGTGAAAGAAAAAAATATAAGCAATAAAATCACACTCAGACCTAATAAGGAACACAAGCATTCTATTTCAAAAGAAATTTTAGAAATAATTTTGGTTTCTTTCTCTTTGGTTAATTAGCTTCCTACTACCAAGGATTCCCCACAGCCTGTTGAGGAGAAGGTTGGTGCCCTCACAAAGATAATAGAAGCCATGGGATTCACAGGACCTTTGAAATACAGTAAATGGGTAAGTCTTTTAAGTTCTTATTTTTCCTTTTGGGCTTTGTGCTTTCTGTTCCTTATAGAAAATTTTAAAAGCTTCTGTTTTACTTTTTTATGAAATTCATGCATTATTTTGAGAACTTCTTCAAAATATCTTGTCCTCTCCCTGCTGTTTCCAAGTTAAATGTATACAGCATGTGTGGCTGAAATAGTCCCTCAGCCTGATTCCTTGGAAATATCACACAGTAGCAGGCATGGCAATAAAGCTGGGCTTTCTGGCCCTTGCTATGTGGTATGCCACATAAATGACTTCTTGGGGGGCCAGATGGATCAAAGATTCTAATAGGCAGCCTTCTTAAGGAAGCATTACTCTCTGATGAATCTGAATTTATAAATAATTTTCACTAAAATTTTACTAATTTTCTTTTTATTAACTAATTAAGCCCACAATGTATTGTAGAGATATTTGTTAGTTGTGTCATTCCTAGTCAACTCTTTTTTTTTTTTTTTTTTTTTTTTTTTTTTTTTTTGAGACGGAGCCTCAAGCTATCCCCTTGGGTAGAGTGCCATGGCATCATGCTCACAGCAACCTCCAACTCCTGGGCTCAAGCGAGTCTCCTGCCTCAGCCTCCCAAGTAGCTGGGACTACAGGCGCCCGCCACAACGCCTGGCCATTTTTTGGTTGCAGCCATCATTGTTGTTTGGCGGGCCTGGGCTGGGGATTCGAACCCGCCACCTTGGGTGTATGTGGCTGGCGCCTTAGCCGATTGAGCCACAGGTGCCGAGCCTCCTAGTCAACTCTTGTAGCATGTGTGCATCATATCTCTTATATAGTAGGAGTTGTAAATGAATGAATGTCTACTCTGCATTACTTAATTAAAGAAACAAAGTATTAGCAGTGCTGTAGTTCCCAGCTTACTTATCTTCTAGATTTGGATTGAACATCCCAAATCTGAAAATCTAAAATACTAAATGCTTCAAAATCTGAAAGGATTTGAGTGCCAGCATGAACTCAAAGTAAATACTTGTTGAAGGATTTTGGATCTCAGGTTTTTGGATTTGTGTTGCTCAATGTGTATAATGCAAATATTCTAAAATCTGAAAAAATCTGAAACCCAAACTCTTCTGTTCCATGTGTTTCTGATGGGGGATACTCAGGTTGAATTGCCATTTTTTCTCTATCACTATGGCAGAAATGCCTTTTAATGCCTTTCAAGATTTCTAGAATATTGGGTAAATCCAATCAGTTATAAGTTTTAAATCAGAGCAAGCCAATGACAAAGCAGTAGGGAGGATTTTCTGGAAAATATCATGTTTTGCTCAAAATGACCAAGTAAGGAAGTTAAGGTCAAATTAGAATTTCCATTTTAATATGGACTTATATTTGTGTGCATGTTTTTCTTTTGTGATGTCTGATTCCCTTCTTAACAGTTCTCATTACAACAAATATAGGCTTTTCTCTATAATGTTCTACATGGATTCTGAAACGTGAACAGTGATCCTACAAGTACTTTGTTTTTAAGAGGCTTTGAAAAGTATAGAAAGAATACTAAGTAATAATGATGTTCTTGAGACTTCAAGGTTAAGACATACCTTTTTTTTTTTTTTTTTTTTTTTTTTTTTGAGACAGAGTCTTACTTGGTCATCCTTGGTAGAATGCTATGGCGTCTTAGCTCACAGCAACTTCAAACTCTTGGGTTCAAGTGATCCTCTTGCCTTAGCCTCCCAGGTAGCTGGGACTACAGGCGCCGGCCACAATGCCTGGCTATTTCTTAGAGACAGGGATCTTGCTCTGGTTCAGGTTGGTCTTGAACCTGTGAGCTCAGGCAGTCCACCTGCCTCAGCCTCCCAAGTGCTGGGATTATAGGCATGGGCGCCTGGCCAAGACATGCCTTCTTAATCACCAAAGAAATAGTAATTATGTTCATGAAAATTATATTTTTTATGTGTTAATTCATTGACATTTGATAATTGTTGATATATTTGGTAATGTAATTAACCAGAATATGTTCCCCCTTTTCTTAAAAAGAAAAGGTTATGATTATGGCATTTGGACTTAAAAACTTAAAATATGTGTTTTGTTTGAAAATAAGAAATTAAAAGAAGAGGGAAATAAGAGCAGAAAAAAAGAAAAATTTATTGTTTTGTTCATTTCTTGATGATTGGTTCCACTTGGTTGCTACCATATGCTTTGTCTAGTTTGCTTTTTATGATTCCAGAGGGATAATTGGCTACCATTTGGAGTATTACTAAATCATCAGGAAAATTCCTTCACTCTTTTAACTTAAGTTAGCCTCTGATTTTTCTTAGTTCCCTTGTGACCAAGAGGTACACAATGGGTAGAGTGCAGTGGCATCATCATAGCTAATGGCAACTTCAAACTCCTGGGCTCAAGGAGTCTTCCTGCCTTATCCTCCCGAGTAGCTGGGACCATAGAAATGTCATGACGCCTGGCTAATTTTTCCATTTTTAGTAGCGATGGGCTCTTGCTCTTTCTCAGGCTGGTCTTGAACTCCTGAACTCAAGTAATCTTTCTGCCTTAGTCTCCTAGAGTGCTAGGATTACAGGCATTAGCCACCATTCTAGGCCTTCATCATATTTACCTAGCACAATATTAGGTAAGATAAGGACAATTTATCAAATTCAACCACATGCCATAGAATACTTACTTTCCATATTGTCATTAAGCCAGAAAGTAACCATTGACAATGACAATAGTTGACAATGACAAACTACAATGTATTCAAAGGTGGGCAATAAGCCTTATGTACGCTTCAGAACCTGTGTTGACTAAAGAATGATTGAAGGAAATAGGATGCTTAGCCTGGAAATGGGAAGACATGATAGTATTTCTCAGGGGGCAAATGTGAAAAAAAATGATGAGACTTAATCTGAGGTATTCTAGTGGGCAGAATAATGTTTAATGAATGTTACATGAAACAGGTTTAAGTTGACTAAAACAAAAATCTAAGAACAAAAATTGTCCTCTAGTGGGATAGGTAGTCTTACAAGAACATGGGCCCAGATGGTTAACTGTTAAGTCAAGAATGCTGTGTAGATAGGTGTAGAATATAAATGTCTTAACACAATAACTAAGAAAATGCCGTGAAGGCTTTGTTGACCAGTTTGATGAAAGCATGTCAGATTGTGTGTAAAACTAGCACATTGTACTCCCATGATTGCATTAATGTACACAGCTATGATTTAATAAAAGAAGAAAAGAAAAAAAAAGAATTTATTTTAGAATAAATTCCAGTATAGAATAGAAGGTTCAAATAGCTAAGAATTCCCTTCCAGCTCTCTTAGTTGTTAGTGCAAACATTTTACGAGATTCACTTTTCATCTTGTAAGATGGTACAAAAAGCATCAATTATGGAGAGAGCAGATTTTCGTTTCCTAAAGCTGTTTAAGGTATTCTTATTTTACTCAAGTAGACTGATGAAGTCTTCCAAAGTTAGAGTGAAATAGACATGAAGTCATCCAAGGACCAGAACAACTTGTATTGACTGGTTGGAAATTTAGTCCACCTACCTCCTTAACTTATATTAACTCACAATTCTTAAAAAGGTTCTTTCCTCCAGTTGTTATTTCCAGGCCTTGAGTGATGGTCTTCAGGGACTTGCTTTAGAGATTTGTCCAGGAAAATGGCTCACCAAAGTATAAAAGTTTGGCTTTGCTGCAGGAAAAGTGAAGAACTATAAAATGCTCCTGATTGCCACAGCATGAGCACTGTATAAATACACTGGCCAATCTGGTGAAATCTTCATTATTTGTAATGAATGCTTTTTCATGAACATGTTGTGGGGAAAGCTTCCTTCTCAATGAAAGACTTAGACCTTGGAGGCAAGTCTTTCTTTAGGCAGGGTGATTAATTACGAACCTGAGAAGATTTTATATATAGGAGACTGAAGGAAATTCTAAGGTTAAAAAAAAAGATCAAGAAAAAGGTGATTAGGAGTTTTAATTAAAATTACAAATTTGTCTATAGTCAAACTGGGCTATAAGTTTTAATTAAAATTACAAATTTGTCTGTAGTCAAACTGGGCATAAATTCCATGAGGGCAGGGATGTTTGACTATTTACTGCTCTAATCTCAATGTCTAGATCAGTGCCAGGCACAGAATTATGTACTCAGTAGCATCATGTACTCAGTACTCAGTAGATTATTGGATGAACTGAAGAGCTAGGACAGATCTCCTAAACTCCCCATCTCAAGGATAGGAATAGGCCTGTTAAGGCCAAAGCATTATAGTAATGATATCTTTAGGCTATCATTAGTTGGGTGAGGGTACAGACAAATGCTTCCCAAGATGTGATCTGTGGTCAGATACTTCCAAGAACTGCAGGTGTTAACAAAGTTAAAACAGGTGACTTTTTTTTTTTTGTTTGCTGATATAGTAAATTATACCGATTGACTTGCCAGTGTTGAATCAACCTTGCAGTCCTGAGATAAATCCCACTTGATCATGGGATTTATCCATTTGATCACTTGTCTTTTGGAACTATTGATGGATTCATTTTGTTAATTTTGTTAAGGATGATCATGAGGGCTATGGTTCTGGAGTTTTGTTCTCTTCTGATGACATTAGTTTTGATATCAGGATATTGTTCTTTCCTCTTGTTTTCTGGCAGAGTTTGAGTTTGTGTAGATTTGGTATCATTTCTTTAGATGTTTGGTAGAATTCTCTACTGCTGTCATCTGGACGTGGAGTTTGCATTGTAGAAAGGTTTCTAACTACAAATCCAATTTCTTTAGTAGATACAAGACTATGTTATTTTTTATATGTTATTTTTTAATTCTAGTGAGCTTTGGTAGTTTGAGTCTTTTTTTGTTTTTGTTTTTGTTTTTTTGGGACAGAGCCTCAAGCTATCCCCCTGGGTAGAGTCTCTGGCATCACAGCTCACAGCAACCTCCAACTCCTGGGCTTAAGCGAGTCTCCTGCCTCAGCCTCCCAAGTAGCTGGGACCACAGGCGCCCGCCACAACGCCCAGCTATTTTTTGGTTGCAGCTGTCATTGTTGTTTTTGGCGGGCCAGGCTGGATTCGAACCCGCCACCTTAGGTGTATGTGGCTGGCGCCTTAGCTGCTTGAGCCACAGGTGCCAAGCCGGTAGTTTGAGAAGTTTATCAAGGTTCGAATCCAGCCTGGGCCACCAAACAACAATGATGGCTGCAACCAAAAAATAGCCGGGTGTTATGGCGAGCACCTGTGGTCCCAGCTACTTGGGAGGCAGAGGTAGGAGAATCACTTGAGCCCAGGAGTTTGAGGTTGTTGTGAGCTGTGATGCCACAGCACTCTACCCAGGGGGACAGCTTGAAGCTCTGTCTTTAAAAAAAAAAAAAAAAAAGAAGTTTATCCATTTCATCTAAGTAATCACTTTCATTGGCCTAAAGCTGTTCATAATATTTCCATATTATCCTATTAATGTCTTAATATGTAATGATGTCCTCTCTCTGATTCCAGATATTAATTTGTATCATCTCTGTTGATTGTTTATTTTTTCTTGATCAGTCTATAGAGATCATCGGTTTTATTGACATTTCTAAAGCCCAGCTTTGGCTTCTTTGATTTTCTGTATTCTTTTTCTTTTTTGTCTTTTGTAGAGACAGAGTCTCACTATTTCATGCTCAGTGGAGTGCCATGGTTCACACAGCTCATAGCAACCTCCAATTCCTGGGCTTAGGCGATTCTCTTGCCCCAGCCTCCTGAGTAGCTGGGACTACAGGCACCTGCCACAATACCTGGCTATTTTTTTAGTTGCAGTTTGGCTGGGGCTGGGTTTGAACCTGCCACCCGCAGTATATGGGGCCGGCGCCCTACCCACTGAGCCACAGGCGCCAACCTGTATTATTTTTCTGTTTTTAATTTTATTGATTTCTGCTCTTAACAATACCATATTCTTTCTACTTGCTTTTAGGTTTACTTTACTTTTTTTTTTTTGAGACAAGGTGCAGTGGTGTTATCATAGCTCACTGCAATCTCAAACTCCTGAGTTCAAGCAATCCTCCTGCCTCAGCCTCTCAAATAGCTGGGACTACAGATTCCACTTACTACCATGCCTTGACTAATTTTTTCTATTTTTAGTAGAGATGGGTATCTCAGTCTTGCTCAGGCTGAAATTCTGAGCTCAATCTGGAGTGCTAAGATTATAGATCTCAACCCTGGTGGCCTAATTTACTTTTCTTTTGTTTGACCATGACTTTTGTTTAAATGTGTGCTTTCAATGCTGATTTACTCCCCAGATAGGCAGATGACATTTCCTTTTGTTATGGTATATTCTGTTTTCCCTTCTATCCTTTCTGAGCTTTAGACTAAAACCTTTGGAAATGTGGCATACTTCAGAAAAACCCACAAAATCATATTTACCATCAGAGACATAATCCTTTCTTAATTTGTGCTGGGTATTTCTTCCCATCAGAGACACTGTTTTTTAATTTTTCTTTTTTTTTTTTTACTGTAGAGAAAATGTAGAAAAATATGAACATTGTATAATATTGGGTATAGTTTATCCTTGGTAACTTTGATAATAATGTTTTGATTGGCTTTTCTTTAGTTGCTATGTCCTTTTCAATCTGTGCATATTTTTTTTAGTCTGTGCATATTTGAGTTTGTAACTGTCCCTGTTATTTTAAGACAAAATAAGCTTCTATAAGCCTTTTGTTGATGTGCTAATTTTTTTTATTTATATCCTTAATGAAATGTTTTGAAAAAATCTGTTCCACCCACACTGAGTTAGTCTTTAGACCTATAATTCAGCTCTTAAGAATTTAATTTTAGATTTGTTTTTATTAAGGCACAATTTACATACAGTTAAATATATAAATCTTCAGTGTACTGCTCTGTGAATAAACTAAAACCACCACTTGTATCAAGATCCTAAGAGAATTCTTAGTGCTTTGAGGAATAATAAAAGATTAATTAATCTTTCTACTAAATTTTACATTCATCAGAAACCCTAATTTCTGTGTATAGTGTTCTATTAATTAGCAAACTATAAAACTAAAGAAAACATAGGAAAAAAGACACCCCCTCCCAGAGATTTAAGGAATAAATAGTTGTACCTCTGAACACGAATTAAAGAGTTGAGTGATTTTGTCAGAATTTGTTTGATTTTGGTCAGAAGAATGGGTAATTTTTTAATATAAAGGGTTTCAGATTATAAAGATAATACCAAACAGTGATTTAGAGGCTCAAATATGCTGAAGTGATTTTGAGTTAAAGGAGAGATTTCACTTAAATATTGGAAAAACTTTTTAAAAATTATCATGCTAAAATCCTAAAATGTGAAAAGTCTTGTATAAAGTCTGTATGAATGGCTCGCTCTAAGAAAAGAAAAAATATTTATATTGTTTTAAATAAGTTGCCTAAACACAGGTTTGGACATTTCATTTTAGTTGAAGAAATATGAGATTCTGCAATCCATGTCTAATGGCACTAGAATATCCACTGGTCATATCTTGAGTTTGGTTTTTTATTCTCTTTGTCTAGAAGATTAAGATTGCGGCCCTGCGCATGTATACTAGCTGTGTGGAGAAAACTGACTTCGAGGAATTCTTTCTAAGTAAGTTAACATTTGACACTTTTGAAAAGGAAAATCAGTCTATCTTTCATTTTTATCATTGTGTCTTAATAGTTTTTTAAGTTACTACTGAAACAATTTTCTTGCACAAAGCGTGTAATATAAACTATTTTTCTCCCTTTTTTAAATTAAAAAAAAATTTTTTTTTTTTTTTGAGACAGAGTCTCACTTTGTCACAGCAACCACAAACTCTTGGGGTCAAGTGATTCTCTTGTCTCAGCCTCCTGAGTAGCTGGGACTTCACACGCCTATCACAATGCCTGGCTATTTTTAGAGATGGGGGTCTTGAGATTTTTAGAGATGAGGGTCTTGAGATGCTCTTTCTCAGGCTGGTCTCCAACCTGTGAGCTCAGGCAGTCAACCCACCTTGGCCTCCCAGAGTGCTGGATTAGGGGCAGGAGCCAGCATGCTCGACCAACCAAAAAAAAAAAATTTTTTTCTTTTTTTTTAGACGGAGTCTCACTGTGTCACCCTCAGTAGAGTGTTGTGGCATCACAGCTCACAGCAACCTCAAACTCTTGGGCTTAAGCGATTCTCTTGCCTCAGCCTCCCAAGTAGCTGGAACCACAGGTGCCTGTCACAGTGGCCAGCTATTTTTTTGTTGTACTTGTCATTATTGTTTAGCTGGCCTGGACTGGGTTTGAGCCTACCACCCTTGTTGTATGTGGTTGGCGCCATAACCACTGCTACAGGCATCCAGCCAAAAAAAAAGCATTTTTTTTTTTTTTTTTAAGAGACAGAGTTTTACTGTGTTGCCTAGGCTGGCCTCAAACACCTAGGCTCAAGTGATGTTTCTGCCTCAGCCTCCCAGGTAGCTGAGACAACAGGCCCATGCTACTTCACCTGGCTGTTTTTCTCTTTTAATAAAGACCAAAACGATCCTATAAATAAAACATTTTGCCAGTTTTACAGAAAACTTAAAAATTTGTCTAGTAATTTGACAATAGCATTCTCCTTATCTATAAATACATCTTTTTATGTAAAAGTATTCATAGTGGCTGGGCTTGGTGGCTCATGCCTGTAATCCTAGCACTCTGGGAGGCTGAAGCAAGAAGACTAGCCTGAGTAAGAGCAAGAGCAAGAACCTTGTCTCTATTAAAAATAGAAAAAATTAGCCAGGCATTGTGATGGGTGCCTGTAGTCCCAGCTATTCTGGAGGCTGAGGCAGAAGGATTGCTTGAGCCGAAGAGTTTGAGGCTTTTGCTCAAACTCTTATGCACTGTATGCACTGTAACCTGTTATACAGTTATGCACTATAACCTCAGGGTTAGAATATGAGTTAGAGAATGAGACTGTGTCTTAAACAAACAAAGAACAAAAAGCAACTAACACCTAACTGTATACATTTGTTTTGTTTTGTTTTTGAGACAGTGTTAACTATGTTGCCCTCGGTAGAGTGCCCTGGTATCACAGCTCTCAGCAACCTCAAACTCTTGCTTCAGCCTCCGAAGTAGCTGGGACTGCAGGGGCCCACCACAATGCCCAGCTATTTTTTTGTTGCTGTTGTCATTGTTGTTTAGCTGGCCTGGGCCAGGCTCAAACCTGCCAACTTTGGTGTATGTGGCAGGCTCCCTACTCACTGAGCTAGGGCGTTAAGCCTACACTTGACATTTTTCTCTGACAGCAAATATTTATATAAAATTTTGTTAACAACAATGAAGAAAGCTCGATGCAGTTTTGGTTATTTAATTACTATTTTGGTTTTAAAAAATCAAACACAGGTTGTTTCGTTTATTTTACCATCTCAGCAGATTGACATTAGAAAGTTAAAATACCGTACTAAATTGTAATTCCAATTTAGTGTCTGCTTTTTATTTCTTATTTATTCATAGCCAGGAAGGAAAACTTTCTTGCTTCTTTGTTAACTTCTAACATTTCTCATTTTAAGAGAAATTAGTCCACAACGAGAAAATATCCTTCCTCTAGCAGATGAAACTATTTTTTTTTTTTTTTTTTTTGAGACAGAGCCTCAAGCTATCCCCCTGGGCAGAGTGCCATGGCACCACAGCTCACAGCAACCTCCAACTCCTGGGCTCAAGCGAGTCTCCTGCCTCAGCCTCCCAAGTAGCTGGGACCACAGGTGCCCGCCACAACGCCTGGCTATTTATTTTGGTTGCAGCTGTCATTGTTGTTTGGTGGCCTGGGCTGGATTCGAACCCGCCACCTTAGGTATATGTGGCTGCTGCCTGAGCTGCTTGAGCCCCAGGCGCCGAGCCACAGATGAAACTATTAATATTAGAAGCTGTCTTTTTTCTTAAGTGTTTTCTTGATTAAGTGTTTTCTTGAATTCATGTCTAAGTATTTTTTTTTTTTTTTTTTTTTTTTTTGCCAGGGCTGGGTTTGAATCCACCATCTCCGGCATATGGGGCCAGCACTCTATTCCTTGGAGCCACAGGCTCTGCCCCATGTCTAAGTATTTTTCATCAGACCTTTTTAAAACCTTACCCTCAGACATCTATTTAATATTTAATTCAATAAGTAGCTCAGAAATTTATTATATTTTGAAAGGATGTTTAGGCTCCGCACCTGTGGCTCAAGTGGCTAAGGCACCAGCCACATACACCTAAGGTGGCGGGTTCAAATCCAGCCTGGACCCGCCAAAACAACAGTGACGACTGCTACCAAAAAATATCTGGGTGTTGTGCCGGGTGCCTGTAGTCCCAGCTACTTGGGAGGCTGAGGCAGGAGACTCACTTTAGCCCAGGAGTTGGAGGTTGCTGTGAGCTATGATGCCATAGTACTATACCCAGGAAGATAGCTTGAGGCTCTGTCTCAAAAAAAAAAAAAAATCCAGAGATTTTTTTTTCCATTGTAACATTTTGCCTGTGAATGAATCTAATTACAAATTAGAAATTGTAATTCATCTTAAAATTTTTTGTATTGTGTTATATTTAAATGAGAACTGCCTCTATGAGATATTCAATTGCTATTGGAAAATAATGTATATACCTACTAGAGCATATACATCTCTGTGGGCTTTGTCCTAGCTTTGTCTTTGAAGTAGTTACCTAGGGAGCCAGTGAAATATTCAATGGCACCACTCTTACTTAAGGTTTCCTAAGACTCAATTTGAGAATTTCCCTTTAAGACCTATAGCATGTTAATTTGTATTATGTTCCATTGTAGCCCAACTTTGTTGTTTGTGGGCAGATTAAGTTTTAAAATCAAACTAAAGTAGTTCTCAACGGTGGCTGGTGAATAAAAAGGGAGCAAATGTAGAACGTACCATCTAGAGGCAGACGATTAAAAATATCTATAAAATGATGTGACTTTCTTGTGGCTTTGGATTCTAAAAAGACGGCTAGACAAGTTTGAAATCAAGTAATAGATATATGTTTTCTTAAGATTGTACCTTTAGGCTTAGCACCTGTGGCTCAAGTGGGTAAGGTGCCAACTACATACACCTAAGGTGGCGGGTTTGAATCCAGCCCAGGCCCGCCAAAACAACAATGACGGCTGCAACCAAAAAATAGCCGGGCGTTGTGGCGGGTGCCTGTGGTCCCAGCTACTTGGGAGGCTGAGGCAGAAGACTCACTTGAGCCCAGGAGTTGGAGGTTGCTGTGAGCTGTGATGCCACGGCACTCTACCCAGGGGGACAGCTTGAGGCTCTGTCTCAAAAAAAAAAAAAAAAGATTAGACTTTTAAAGTGGTCACTGTTTACTTGGATTTTTGGTATTTTAGACACTAACTTTTAGAGTCCTGAGAATTCAGTGTTTTGTTTTGTTTTGTTTTGTTTTTGAGACAGAGTCTCTGTTGCCCAGGCTAGAATGCCATGGTGTCAGCCTAGCTCAGAGCAACCTCAAACAATCTTGGGCTCAAACAATCCTTCTTCCTCAGCCTCTAAAGTAGCTGGAACTCCAGGCCCACACTACCATGTCCAGCTAATTTTTCTATTTTTAGTAGAGATGGGGTCTTGTTTTGCTCAGGCTGGTCCCAAAACTCCAGACCTCAGGTGATCCTCCTGCCTCAGCCTTCCAGAGTGCTGAGATTATAGGTGTAAGCCACCTCACCTGGCCTAGAATTCAGTTTTCAAAGGATAGAACCTCAGATAGCTGGCTAGTGTTATACTTACTCACCCCACGCCTAGTAAAAGTGAGGCTGGTGCTATTTCATGAAGAATGTTTATGAATAAGTTGTTTACTTAGTCTTTGTGAGTAAACAGTAATGTCCATTAGCCTCTTGAATAGGTACCCATAAAATGCCAAAGTTACAGACTTTCTATCATCCTCAGAGCTGAAGTGTTCAAAGGGTTAGATCCAGACAGCTCGGTATGGGGGATTCTGAGTGGTAAGGTATCTTAGAAGCCTACTGCTGCTTCTCCTGATGTCTCTTGTCATAAATGAGCATGCCGTACATGAGCGTGCAGCGCTTTGACGATGGTCTTTTGGTGACCATTTGTGCTATGAAGAGCACTTTGAAGAGAGGTGGCCAGTCAGTAAAGCTTGTGTTTAAGTGCATCTGTTGTCTACAGACTGCTTTGTCTTTAACTTTTAGTGCCTAGAGAGCTTAGAAAAGAAAAGACTTGGTAATGAGTAAGTTCTGAGTCAGTGGTTGAGGTTTGTCACTTTATTGACATAATCTTAAATAATTAGTGAGGTTTGTTAGAGAAAATTTAAATGTTATTATTTAAATAATTCGTTGAAAAACAGTAACAGAAAATATTGAGTACTATTAAATATTAACCATTTTGCTAAACATTTTATAGGCCTTATCTCATTGAATCCTCACAAAAATCTTACAAATTAGGCTACCTTGTTCTTCCCATTGTAAAGAAGAAAACAAGGTGCTTGGAGGCAAAGTAACCATGTAGTCAGTTAGAGGTAGAGTCAGGGTTTTGAATCAGGCATTCTGACCCTGCGTTACATCAACAACTATATAAATATTACCCAGTATACCCAATATGACAGTAATTATTCAGAAAGTGCCTAGCTTCAGAAAATAAAGCTGAATGTGAATTGGACCAAAAGTGTGATTATGGGAAAAGAGTCTAACAGGTTTTAACTTTGAAGGTTTAAATACATTTCATTGAGCTAAAGAATCTGCTGCATTTTTGAGGTGCTCACAGTTATCATGCATTGGTCTTACTTTTTAGAGACCCCATTGGGTATAGGGGCTCAATCATGTGCCAAGTCTTTTCCCATCCTCAGCCCTGAGGTAACCCCCAGAAGAGGAAATTGTGACCCACGTCCAGCTGCTGGCCTCTCTGTCAGCCCGTGCTTTCCAGTTTAAGAACTGATTCCCTTTGAGAAAATTGGAAAGGCTCCTGGAGGCTGCTGAGAATCTTTGATGTAGAGGTAGCAATTGAACAGATTGTCCTTTAGAAGCAGCCAAATTTCATTTTCCAGATTGAAAGACAAACTTCCAAGAAAACTTTTCTTCTTAATGTTTTGTTCTAGCATCCAAAAAAGACCCAACTTTAGATCTGGGCTTGAGAGTTTCTCAGGGCTATTCTCGTTCTAGGCGGAGGGTGTTGGCCCATTCTCAGATGGCATGTGTCTTAATAGCTGTATGGCTGGCCAGGCCAGCCTTCTCCCTCTTGCTGGGCTCTGAGAGGAAGTCCACTTGACAGCTGCTGGGCACCTCCTAGTAAGCTCACTAGAGTATTTTGGTGTCACTTTGTGACAGACCTGGCTTCAAACCCAGCCCTGCCACTAGCTTGTTAATTGTGGCTGCCTGCAAGTTACTTAGCCTTTTTGAGTCTGTTTCTTCATCTCTACAATGATGATTATAATACTTCTTTCCAGGTTAAAGTGAAGATTAAGTGAAATAATGTAGATGACTAGCAGTGGACCTGGCATATAGGATGGCTTAGTGTGTGTGTTAGTTTCTGATATTAGTCTGAAAGAAGCAGTTAGACTAGTGATTACCAACGTTGTGTCTGGAATTAAGCAGATCTGAATTTGATCCTAGGTGTCTCATTTCATAGCTGTGTGACCTTCAGCAACAATTGTCTTGATCTCTCTAAGAGTCAGTCTTCTCTCCTATTGATGGGAATAATATCAATGCCTACCTCATAGGATTTGGGGGAGGAGCCACTGAGTTAATGCATGTAAAAGCACCTGTTCAAATGTCTGGTACACAGTAAGCCCATGATGAATTACAGCTCTTTATAATTATTGGTGCTATTAGTATAGCTCAAAGGAGTCCTGCCTTGTGTTTTATCTCCTAGTGATCCCAGGTTGTTATCATTCAGTACATTGTGTACCTCACTGATAGCTGAAAGGCAGGGGATAAACCTTCTTTCTTAAGTCATTGCTCCAAAAGACATATTCTACCAGAAGGACCCAAATTCCCCATTGATTCTCTTTTTTCTTCCTCTTTTTTTTTTAGAGACAGATTTCACTTTGTTGCCCTCAGTAGAGTGCTGTGGCGTCATAGCTCACAGCAATCTCTAACTCCTGGGCTTAGGTGATTCTCAGCCTCCCAAGTAGCTAGGACTACAGGCGTCCACCACAATGCCTGGTTATTTTTTTGTTGCAGTTTGGCTGGGGCCAGGTTTGAATCTGCCATCATTGGTATATGGGGGTGGTGCCCTACCCACTGAGCCACAGGCGCCACCCTTTATTCATCTTGCTCTAGCTTTTTCTCTCTGACATGTAATAAATAAGAGGGTACATTTAATCTGCCCCTTATCTAGCCAGAGGCATTTTTCTTTCCTTTCCTTTCCTCATTCTCCTTTTTCCTCTCTTCTTTCTTTCTTTTCTTCTTCTTCTTTTTTTTTTTGAAATAGAATCTTACTCTGTCACTCAGGCTGAAGTTCAATGGCAGGTCATAGCTCACTACCTTGAACTTCTGAACTCAACCAATCCTCATGCCTCAACCTCCTGAGTATCTAGGACTACACGCGCTAGCCACCATGCTATTTTGTTTTTCGTAGAGACGGGGCATCACTCTTGCTCAGTCTGGTCTCAAACTCCTTGTTTCAAGTGATCCTCCCACCTCAGCCTCCGAAGTGCTGGGATACAAGGTGTGAGCCACTATGCCTGGCCGAGAGGCATTTCTTGGGATCTGGGAATTGAGAGGCTTGGGTATCTGAGTATAGACCTAATTTGTAGGATCTGAAACCAAGGAGACATCCTTCCCAGTTTTGTCATTTTGGGGGTGATGAATGCCCTTTCATTGGATTTGGTCTGCTTTTTTATTCAGCCACAGCTCCCTAGAGCTCCACTTTTTTCTCCTGGCCATTTCTTTTGGGCAATCATTCAGCATACCTAGATTCACAGCATCTTAAAGAAATAAAATAGGAAAAGGACACTAGAAAGACTTAAACTTCTCAGTGGAGCCTTACAGAACAAAGCTGACACAAAAGTGGGGTAGGCAAGGTGGTGTTTGCCTAGCTTTTCAGAATTCAAGCCAGGAAGAGAAAATATTATAAAATCACACAGAAGTTGGAAAAAACCATAGAGATCATCTGAGGCTATCTATATTATACAAAGTGAGAATACTAAGACTCAGAGGAGAAGTGATTTGCCTATGGTCACACAACAGAGTGGTAACAGGACTGGAACAAGAAGACTATCCTGACCCAAGTCAGTGCTCATTCAGGCCACAGGATTGCTCTGAGGTTCACTGGCTTGATAGTGACAGCATAATCAGAGAGCACTGTAATTGCCATATATTTTAGTTGAACAAATTCCTACTAATATTTAAAATATATATTGCCTCTGGGGCGGTGCCTGTGGCTCAGTAAGTAGGGAGCTGGCCCCATATACCGAGGGTGGTGGGTTCAAGCCCGGCACCCTGGCCAAACTGCAAAAAAAAATAGCCGGGTGTTAATGGCAGGTGCCTGTAGTCCCAGCTACTCAGGAGGCTGAGGCAAAGGAATTACCTAAGTCCAAGAGCTGGAGGTTGCTGTGAGCTATGGCGCCATGGCACTCTACTGAGGGTGACAAAGTAAGACTTTGTCTTAAAAAAAAAAAATATATATATATATATGTACATATATATATACACACACATATATATATATATAGCCTCCTCTAAACCTTCACATACTTATACTTTATTGTTATTTTCCAGGGTGTCAGATGCCCGATACATTCAATTCATGGTTTCTTATAACGCTACTTCATGTCTGGTAAGTGAGCAATTGGTGAAGTCACCAAATGTATTTTTTTTAAACACTGCTGACTTGTAAGGTATAGCCTTTAGCAGGGCTGATTATATGAAATGGCAGTTGTTCAGGCATTAAAAACTGTTCCTTTCATTTTAATAACTGGTGTCTTGAAGCACATTTTTATTAAAGGTCAAAGCATAGGCCCAGAAATAAACTAATATTTGTAAGATTTTTTTCAAAGAACGCCTAACCCAGCGAACAATGCTATCAGTATCTGTAAGAGACTCTGTGAGCTTGGATGGAAAGTTCTCTCCCTTGGCTGTTTTAGGAAAAGTTCACATTTACGTAAAAGTGGTTTGAATTGTGAGAATCCGTGGTCATTTTCTTTGCTGGTCATCAGAAACCTATAACAAATTATAGCACTGACATTTATGCCTGTACCTCTAAAGTGTGTATACGAGTTAGAGTCATGCCAGGTTTGTTGCATGTAAAAATATTTAACACCTTAAACAGTATATTTTTTCTTCAGCTGTGAAATAAGTCGCCAAAAAAATCAATTTTTCATCTAATGTTACACAGTATTAAAGGTCAGAAGGATATAGGAGAGTTGTTGAAGTGGGGGCTGGGGAATGTATTTATTGAACTGCCAGATCTTGGGAAAGTAAATTCTGGAGAACTAAGTTTACTACTTTGACCATAGTGAGCATCTGAGGGGCATGGGGAATGGCTGCCCCATCAAAAGGCCCCTTGTTTGAGTCTACCTTGAGCTGAGCCTTTGCATCACAGCACTGACTACTATATAAAGACGTTTTGGTTTTGATCACCTCTGAAATGTTTCTTCTTCTGTACTCACATAGTCACTGAGTTTGGCTAACAGGCTTATGGCTACAGTTTATTTTATACTGTTTTTTTCTGAGCTAATAGTTTATTGAGTGCACACACTGTCTTAGGTACTTTGCTGGTAGAGATAGTTCTAAAGAAGCTCACACTCTAATAAGGTAGATGTGAAATGGTCAATTATAAGTAAGAATGGCTAAGTTCTATAATAAATATGAGTAAGCAGTACTTATAGGATCACAGAGGAAGCTACAACGGTCAAAACCCTTGCTAATTCTTCCTGTTAGTTCTTCAAAATGTGCCATGTCTTTTAGTTGGCTAAGAAGGCACATTACCGTCCTATTGTCTTAATGGTGAAGGTCAGGGAAAGGGTTCAGGAAGGGAAGCTAGATATATTGGGGGGGAAATTACTTTTTCAAGAGGGGAGACTGCAGAGGTGGCACTATGGAATTACTCACTAGGAAGGTGGGAGGGTCGAGAGAAGGCTAGGCTGTTCCCAGAGGAGCTGAAAGATAATATTCAGAGCTTGTATGAAAGACTCTTTATTGCCCATATAGCTAGAGGTATCAGAGTGTTAGAGGGAGTGGATGGCAAAATAAAATACATAATCCCTGTGACCACATCCCAAGGTCAATACCTGACTAATAGCAGCTGGGAGAACCTTGCAACTACTTGCAGTTCTTTAAAGTTTTCAAAGTGTGCCTGCTGAGTCTGCCTTGCTGAAGTTGGTTTAATTTCTTAGGAATGGGATGTACCACCCCCAGCTAGGTAGGGGGAAGGGAGGCTGTCTGTTTCGTATCAATGCTTGGTCTTCCTTAGTTCTGATGATATGCAGGCTTTGGTGGAATGAATCAGTAGCTTTTCAATTTGAAACTCTTACTGGATTGGGGCATTGTTTAGAACCATGGGGCTTTGAAGAGAATAATGTGACATGGTCTGTACCTTCAAAAAATTTAGTCTAGTAGAAAACAGACATAAAGTATAATTGCCTAGAATGGATGATAGAGAAACGCTGTGTCCAAGGCACAAGTGGGTGCTGTGGAAGCACAAAGTAGCGTAACTAAAACAGAATTTGGTGTGTGTGTGGGGGTGTATGTTGGATAAAGAGGGGCCCTGCGGTAAAGGTGACACCTGAGATCTACCAAAAAGGATAAAGAGAATTTCTGTCATAGAAAGGGAGGACATTTCAGGTTGAGGGAATAGCAGGAGCAGCATACAGAACATGTACAAAACCATGAAGTATTTGAGGGCCTCTAGCTGTCTGATATTTCTGGGGCAGGTTTGTAGAGCAGTGCGAAACTAGAGAACTGTCTTGTCTTAGGAAAAGAGGGTATTAGGACGAGGGAGAGATGCATCCCAAGTCTGTGGAGGAACTATGTTCTAGTCCCTGTTCTCTTAGCCTGATGCTCTAGGAGGATAACCGAGGGATAGCCAAATCCAAAATTTCAGAATTCTGTGGACTTGTTAGAGGTATCAGGAATGAAATATTTATTGGAGGTGGTAGTATGAGGGAGAGATGGGGAGGCTTAGAAAACACTCATAAAAGTAGAAATAATCCTCTTCCCCAAAACAAAAAAAAAGACAAATTTCTAATAAACAAAAATACCCTGGTAGCTGACATTTCAGAATGCTTACTTGAGTTCCCAGGGATAATGGTTGACTCTCAGACTGGAGACACAATTTCTCATATCCTGTTAGTTCTTGGAGAAAGTATTGATGCTTCATTTATTCTGTCTCCTTTTTCTCATGCCACAGTTTTTCTATGGATTAGGATGTAGGGCTGGGACACACTCTAGTTCTTAGAAGACTCTTTATCAGTTTTGTATTCATGTGAGCTTGCAGCTGCAATGACTGTGCTCATTGTCTTTGCTGAACAAATTAGCATTGACTGTGGCTGCTGAAAGAGTACAGAGAGAGGCAGCTGTCTGCACTGTCTCCAGCATCCTCCTGTGGACTTGATAAAAGCAGGCCTCCTCCTCTGCTCCCTGTCTTGCCCAGTGGCATTGTGCTCACATGAGAAACCTGGAGTCCTTTTTTTTTTTTTTTTTTTTTTGAGACAGAGCCTCAAGCTGTCCCCCTGGGTAGAGTGCTGTGACATCACAGCTCACAGCAACCT